AGAAAGCAAGCCACCAGGTTCAGGACTTGAACCACAGTCTGGCCATGTGAGAGTCCAGCACCCTTAACCACCATGCCACCTGCCGGCCCCCTATGCAATGGGATTTTAGTAATATCTATCTCAATCAGCTGAGGTGACACAGCACTAATTCAACATCCCACCATGCTGAGACCGCAGGGAAGGTCCAAGGTTAGGGTCCCAAGGTCTCCCTGTGCACGTCAGGATGGTGTATCTGAGCCTGTCATCCTGACTCTGGATCATGGCGCAAAGACCTTGCTGCTGGTGCTTATCTCTCTCTCAGAAAGAAGTACACTTAATTTTTTTTTTACCTTTGGGGCCAGCAGATGGTGTAGTGGTTAAGGTGCTGGATTCTCACATGGTCAACCATGGTTCAAGTCTCGGACCTGGCGGCTTGCTTTTCCTTTCTCTCTTTGATCAAAATTTAAAAATAATAATAAATTTTTTTGATCTACCTCATAGGGATGTTGGCCCATGTAAAGTGCTTAGAACGGAATCTAGCTCACAGTGAGTGCTGTGTGAAAGCAAGCTCTCATTATTACTACCCAAGAAAAGCCAATACGATGGAGCCTCAGGGCAAGAGTGGGAGTGATTCCAAGGGCAGTATCACTAGTCTGAGCTGCCCTGGATTCACACCTTACTCTGTGAAGACCAGAGAGGTTATAAGAGAAGATGAAGAGAGATCTACTCCAAAATTTTGAGACCATGGACAGGAGGGAAGGTAGTCTCCACCCCAGCGGAGAACACAGCCACAGCCGTGGGAGTGGGCAGGAAGGTGATTGGCAGGGGACATAAGCCTGGGAGCTGACTGGGCTTTCTTTGGACTGCATGCCAGTGTTGAGACAGCCCGAAATAGCTGAGTGGGACTTAGCAAGGAGTAGAAAGATAGGAGGTGTGAGGGTCTAAGATCCTGCTTACACGTACATCAGATACCAGTCCCTTGGGTAGAAAAAGACCTCGTGCTCTGGTGGCAGACAGACCTGGTTTGAATTCCACCTTTGCCACTTACCAGTCTATAAGTATGCAGAGAACAGGGACCATCTTCTTCATTACGGAGTACACAGAAGAACTCAATGCATGGGTGAGTGAATTTGATATCCTGGAACCTCAGTTTCTCATCTGTAACATGGAGATAGCGTCATGACCTTTAAAGCTGATGCAGATTATATCAGACAGTGTCCACAGCCAGCCGAGGTCCCTGATGAATATGGGATGCCTTTTTAAAAACAATATTCACTATCTTGCATAAGATATAAACAGAATACATTTCTTGACACAAAGTGACGAATGCTATTCTGGTGCAGTAAATGCAGTCCACTCTACATTTGCCATGGGGCTAGACCCTTGAAGGGAAGTGGTCATACCTCTTATAGGTTTTTCCCAGAACGATCAGTACTTTTCAAGAGTCACGTAAGGTTCAATGCTTTCTGACCAAAAACTTTCAAAAATACAGCTAGCTACTGAGGAGTGTTGTTGACTGTTAGGAGAGTAAGATCGTGGACAGATTACTAAATAATCTAGATTCTAGAGTGACTAAAATTGCCGGCTATCTATGTAACTGTCATGAATGTGCTGAATTTAATTTTTTGAAGAGTGAAAAAGTTACCAATATAGTCTAATTGCCAATACACTAACATGACCTGATTATGTATCACCATCTACTTATTGAATTAAAGTGTTTATTTATTTTTAAAATAGAGATTTTTGCAATAGGGTGCATGCACTTGCCAGGTTACACAGGGAGACAGAAAGTGAGAAATAACCCCCTCTGAGAGGATGGTCATGCTGCAATCCCTTCTCCTCCATCTCCTCTTGGGATTTTGGGCATACACGCACATGTGCCCAGCATGAATCTTAAGCCACTGGGCCTGGAACTTGAACCGTGATTGACTATGTGGGAGTCAAGCAATGTAACAATTATGCCATCTGCTAGTTCCTCAAAGTGTTTATTTTTACATCTACTTTAGAAGATACATAGTATATTTGAGAATAAAATAACTGCTTGGAGAATTTCTTCAATTCTAACATTCTTCAATTCTTTTTCAAGATCAGAAAGATCTTCCTACTCTGCAGAAAATATTATTTATTGATGTGGGATAAGTTTTCTTTAAGAAGTCAGAGCTACTTAATATGAGCAGTATTGAGCATATCAAATGAATTACTTGAATAACAACACATATCAAATGTGAATCACCATAGCCAGACACAAGCTTTTAACAACTTTAATTGATATAATTATAAGTGGTATGCAATATATCTTACAACAAATATAGATACAATGACATCAAATATCAAAGAAGTTGCATGTCTTTCCATCTTTAAATGCCATCAGCTAATTCATCCCAACAAAGAAATCTTCCATTCATCTCTTGGTGAATACTATTACCAATATCAACTAGCACTGTTAAAATCAAAGTTGAAATGGTACATTCATTTGCCCAAAAAAACCAAAAACCAAAAAACCAAAAAAACAGAAAGAAAAGTTAAAGGCAAAGGAGGTGAATCAACGTGCAAAACAGCATCTGGCCCAGTTGCAAAATACACTTCCCAGATGCGAGGGATTGAACCATGCACCCTTGCAAGCAAGATGTAGGGCAAACAGATGACATCACACCACAATCGAATCCACAAAGAATCCAGGTGATCCCAGGATGGCAAAGGCAGGAGGCCTATTGCTGCCAGTGCTCAGGTATCCATTTCGTGTGACCCCAACCTGTTGGATCCTGACTTGAGCATCTGTGAGACCCATGTCCTGGGCCATCCTTTCATTTGGAGATAGAAACCATCGCTCATGATTCCAGGCATGGTCAGCCCTGTAGTCCGTCAGTCACTGCACTGGGGGGAGGTCCAGAGCTGTAGCAGCTGCCTGTGGCCATGACACACTGTCGTTTTGTAGATAAGTCAAAACAACACACCGGCATAACAACAAACAAGAAACTGAGATCACTTATATACCGATGCAATACATAAAATGTCTATAAATACCTTTCTCCAGAAACTGGAAACACTGTAGACATGATTGCATTCCTCACAACACATCTGTGAGGTAGTATGGGGTGAGGTCAATATGAAAGCATCACCCCCATTTTAGAAATGAAGACACAGACGTGCAAGAAGGGTAGGAGATTTATCCGGGGCCACAGGAAAAGAAAACAAAGTCTCCCTCTTTCATGATTGGCCAACTATGGTCATGAAGAGGCTGCTGGCCTCACTCCTGCTCCAACGTCCTCACTACCACTTCCTGGCTCGTCCTATCCAGATGGGGCATTGTTGTCTAAATCCACTAGAGCACTTTCCCTTGGGCAGACCTGAACACTCTCTCTCCCTGAGGTAAAGGATATCAATTATTGGCATATATTTCAGATATATATGTGTGTTGAAGCAACATTTGTAGATTACAGTTGCTAAAATTACTTGGACCAATTCGAAAGCAGAGAAAATATATTTGGCAAAATCAGGTTCACCCCTTAGGTGTTCTGTAGTAAGTAACACACTGAAGAGTGTTAGCGCTTCTGTGAGAAGCGGTCCCCTTGTTGGATGTCTCTGCTCTAGGCCCGAGTCCCTCTCTTGGCCATAGCATTTGGAAGTTAATATAAACAAGGAATCCATCACGTTCTCTGGCACAATTGCAGCCTTCGGTAAGGAAACATTTGCTGAGTCCTTGGTTTGTAACAGGTCAGGGATCTCAGGAAGAGGCTGGCCCCTCCGACCCAGTATTTATGACAGAAGCAACGCCCAGAATTATACCTCTTCGAAGATGTTGCATGGTTGTTTTGTCAAAATGTTTTTGGTCAAGAGGAAAAAATAATATGGACTGGTTTTATTGGTTTGTACTTTGTCGAACTGAAAGCCCTATGAAGGGGGTGGGAGTGGGGAAGAGGGACAATTATTCAGATCAAGTATGGCCAGAGAGGAACCCTTGGCCATTTACCATTTCTCTGAGATGGTCTTTTATTATTTTTCTTTAATATTCAGAGAGCTCATAATTTTTTTCTAAGACTCCTCTTTATCCACTCTGGTTATAAAGTACTAATTCTCCTTGGCACCTACAAAGTTTAGGAACAATTTTTTTTTTTGAGAGGTTTCTGTTACAGGGTGCGTGTGCTTGCCAGAAAGACAGAGAGAGATAGAGAGGCAGAAAGAGAGAAATGACCCCCCAGGGGGGATGGCCATGCCACAATCCCTTCTCCTCCATTCTCCTCTCGGGATCTTGGGCACGCATGTACACACACCTGGCGTGAGTTTAAGCCACTGGGTCTGGGACTCGAACTGCGGGTCAACTACACGGGAGTCCAGAGACATAGCCATTATGCTAACTGCTGGTCCCAGGAACACATTTTTTTCAGTGTGTAGTATGGCAGGTTGTGGAAAGCGGTACCGCTTGTGCCTCTGACAGCATTGACACACACGACAATGGTGGTTTTCATGTCAGTCTTTGTTGGGTCACAGCAAATGACAGGACCCAGGGTCAAGTTTCTATAAACCAGAGTCATGCAACAAGGACCAACTTTAGAAAGAAAAGTTCATCCGGCTTTGGGTTTGTTATGACATTGTAGGACAACATGCCATACTTCAAAACAGGACCCGGTGTGTGTATGCTACGACTACACAAAATCAGGATGTAAGATGCTGATTGCTAACATCGGATGTTAAAGGAAGCCAGGGTTGTAACTGAAACAAAGCTCTCTACAAAACATACAGAAATAAAACTGTGACCATGTATGCCAAAAACAATCCAGTGACCACAAAGAAAATACTGTGGAGAAAAGAACTTAATATCCAGGGCTGGCCCCATAGCACAGTGGTTAAGCACTATAAAGAGTGAACTGGATCCCACAAGGCCAGCCATGGTTTGAATCCTGGCCCCAGTGGCTTGAAAAACACACCAGGCACGTGTGTGCACCCAAAACTCTGACCGGAAGCAGAAATGAAGGAAAAAGGGATTATAGTGTGACCATGCCCCATGGGGGTACATTCTCTCTCCCTCTGGCAATTATAATAAAAACTAACACATTATATCATTTGGCTAAAAATAATAAAAAAAAACTATTACTAATTTGCGAGTCTTATTCCATCCCAGTGGTACTGCAACCAGCCAGGGTTTCCCAGTGTCAGCACTGTTGACGATTTGGGCCAGATAATGGTTTGTGATTGGTTGCCCTGTGCCTCACAGGATATTTGGCAATATCCTTGGCTTCTAACCACTAGTAGCACCACCAAGTTGGGATAATCAAAAATGTCACTAGACATGTCACTAGACATGTCCCTGGGGTGTGTGTGTGGGTGGGGGGTGGTACAAACATCACCTCCCAGTTGAGAATGATCACAGTAAATGGATGCTTACAAGGATGAATGATTCTTTTTCAAAATTTGTTGTGCAGGGTTTTAAGACTCCAAACCCAGGGGCGTTCATGTATTAAAGGGCAGAATGAGTACGGTAATTGTATGGGGAGAATAAGTGGGCAAGTCCTGGTGTCTGTTTCCTACAGAAATGCCTCACTAAGCAGTTGCAGATAGACTAGGGTCTCTTCTAAAGTTTTATTTATTTTTAACAGTTTACAGCCATCATTCAACAGACAGCAAGGCAGTGAACCAGCTGCGTTATGAGTGTAAAGCAAGCATCCTAGGGGCTGTTCCAAGCAGTGTCTGACAGGTATTCGGAGCTGATTCCCACCTGCCCTAGTGAGGTCCTCCATGCCTGTTGGCTCTTCTTTCCCTCCTCCTCTAATCCTCTTCCCGCACCATACGCTCTCTGTACATCTCCTTTTCTCTTCTATAACTAAGCTCACCCCATAGCTTTCTCCTTTGGATCTGCCCTCTTCTGAAAGCATCCTTCATGGGGACAGGTGGCCTGATGGGGAGCACAGGTAGAGGGCATGCTGGGCTCCACAGCAACCTGGTACTTTGCCCCTGGGCCTGCTGGCCTCCCCCCAGGGCACTCCCTGTTTTCATCTTCCTTTAATTAGGCAGCGAAGAAACTGCTATCCCGCTTGGAGAGCCAAGCAGGCATCTGGTCAGGGACAACCAGCTCAATCGTGATAAACGAGGAAATCGGAGAACCCCCTCCCTCTTTACATGCAGGGCGAAATCTTCCTTGGACTCGATTCCTTTTCCCTCATTGATATTTAATGTAGTTTCCTAAATAGAGGTTTAAGAAATGCCATGAATCAAAAGTTTTCCCCCCCAAAAAAAGGAACCCCCAAGAAAAACAACCGAATCTTTCTTCCTTGGTCCTCTGAAAATGGATCCTGCAGTGGACGCAGAAGCCTCCACTGTGGGGTTCTAGCCTGGCTGGTGAAAGGCTGGCCCATTTCAGTTGCGATCAGATGCCACTCACCTTTCAGTAATGGTTCTTTTTGTGCCAGAAAGGGGAAGTCGTAGCAGCCAGAGGAGAGAGAGGGAAACGAAACAACCATACCAACAAAACAGGGCTTAAGATTGTCGTTCGGTGCGCATCAGGAACTTGTTATTAATTCTACTGGGTAAGCACTTTAAATAAAGGACAGTCGTTCCTCATCCCAGGCCACATTGCTCTGTTAGGAGTCGTCGTACAGAGGGTTGTTGTAGTTTCCCCACGACCCGTAGTCATGGTCATCCAGAAGCCTTCCGTAGGATGAATGCCTAGTGGAGAATGAGAAGGTGTGGTTATTTGGAGAAAGTGCCCACCTGAGCACAGCCTACTGCTGAGGCCAGAACTGGACAGGCTTATAGGGCTAAGAGGGCAAGACCTGACCTTCCCGCTAGGACAACTCTTTGGGAACAAACCCTCCACCAGTGGAGGCCACCGTCTACCAAACACCCTATAAGCTGCATGATCCAGCTGGGAGCCGCCTGGCACCTTCTGCTGCGATCAGCTGGGTCCTTGTCATTTTTCTGGCTCTCTAGTGCTAGAGGAGGAGGAGGAGGAAGCCTCCCTGTCATGGCTGCTGAATAATATGGGATGGAAAAGGGAAAGTTCCATTCCCACATTGTGACTTGGGTTCCTGACTTGCTTTGTTCTTTGTAATAATAATGATGCAGGGGCCGGCTGGTGGCATGGTGGTTAAAGGTTGCTGGATTCCCATGTAGTAAACAGTGGTTCAAGTCCCGGACCTGGTGACTTGCTTTCTCACTTTCCCTCTCTCTCTCCCACTCTGTTCCTCTCTGGTCAAACTAAAATAAATAAAATAAATTAATTCATTTAAAAAATTTCTTTAAAAAATGTAATAATAATGACACAGACCCACCCCTATTGATAACACTACCCCTCTTGCCTTTATACTGTACCAGAATGTACAAAGTACTCCTATTGGTCATTGGAAAGGCCATGACACATTTTTCTGTTTTCCTATGCAAAAACGCATCATGACTTTTCCAATGACCCAATATATTTTTTACCTGATCCTCAAAAGTAAAGCCAGGGCAGGTATGGCTTATCTTTATTTCTCTGGAGAGGAAACAGGCTCAGAGAGGCTAAGTGATGTGCCCAACGTCATCCCCCTCAGCTCTGTGTGCTGCCCCTGCCTTCTGCATCTAAACCCAGGGCTTGGAGCTCAGGTTCCAAGTGTCTGATTAACACCTTAGGTTTCACGGCAAAAAGGGTTGAACAGGCTTTAGTGAATCATTCTGAGAACCTCTGTCACCATTAGGATTATTTGTATGAGAAATGAAGGTCAGAGGGCCCAGGAGTTGGCATGGTGGTTAAGGGTGCTCTCACATGGCCAACCGTAGTTCGAGTCCTGGACCTAGTGACTTGCTTTCTCACATTCCCTGTCCCCCTCTCTCTGTGTCTTTCTCTGGTCAGATAAAAAGAAAAAAAAATAAGTAAATAAAACTAAATAATCCTTTTTTAAAAAAAGAAAAAAAGGGAAAGAAATGAAAGTCAGGTTGTCCGCGATCTGTTCAAGGCCTTTGAATGACTGCTTATCTCCCATAGAGTTAAGTCCAAGTCATTCCCACGGTTCGCAAAGCCTAAGGTTTCAGCTCTGTCCTCACAGCGTCTCCTAGCTCCCCCTGCCCCAACCACATAAGCCTCTTTCTCTTTACTCCCATGCCAGGCACATCCTTGCTCAGGACCCTTGCACTTACTGTTCCCCTCTACCCAAGAACAACCCTCCACACAGCTCACTCCCTCATTTCTTTCCAGTCTCTGTTCAAACACCACCATCTCAAGAAAGCCTGTCTTCCTGGGCAACTCTAAATTTGCAACTCTCATCTCCAATACTCCCTGCTTAAGTTTTCTTACAGTCCTAATATACTATACAATTTGTTTTGTTATTGTCTCTCATACTTAACTAGTTTCTAAATTCTGTAAGAGCACTGGATTATTTGCCTGTTCTGTTTATTCTTGTCTCTATCTCTAGCACTTAGAAGAACATCTGACACATAGTAAGTCCTCAATAAATGTCTGTTAAAGAAACAGTGATTAGTAGGTGGGCTCTGTAGTCTAGTGGTGGCATTCAAACAAGGTGTCCAGATCCCACGTGGCTGACCCCACAGTTCAAGTCCCAAACTCAAAGGCTGGAGAAGCACACTAGCACATATGCATGCATGCCCAAATCCTAGGAGGGAGTTAGAGGAAAAGGGATTGCATTGTGATCATTCCCTGTGGTTGGGGGTGTTCTCCTCTCCCTCTCTGTCTCTGTTCTCTCTGGAGAGTGCATGTATTCTCTAGCCAAAGGAAAAAAAAGTGATTAGACAAAGTACATCTTGAGTTTCTTCACGAAAACCAGTGTGTTCCCAAGAAGAGAACTTACTTCCTGGAGAGAAATATAATCATTTTAAATGGATGAGATGGGGCCAGCAGATGGTGTAGTGGTTAAGGTATTGGACTCTCACATGGCTGACTGTGGTTTGAGTCCCAGACCTGGTGGCTTGCTTTCTTACTTTCTCTCTTTGTCTCTCTCTGGTGAGCACACATGCCTTGTAACAAATTAAAAAATAATGACAAGTAAAACAAATTAAAAAATAACGATAAATAAAATAAAATAAATAATTCTTTAAACTGAAGAGCATGAAAGAACACCATGAAATGAGCACCAGTTCCTTTGAGGTTCATGCTAGCACTTGAGTTATAATTGCCAGTGGAAATCACGTTTGATAAGTGGAGTACAGAAAAACATGCCCAGTCCCCCAATCATTTTCTCTGCTAAGTATAACATTTAACAAATGAAAACACAATGTGAGAGACACAAAACGCTTTTATCTGCTCCTAAAATAATTGGCATTGCTCTTTTGAAGCTTACTGCTATCTGTCAGGTAGTTGCAAAGGGATGATTTTTTGCAAAGAACCAGGTCCTTGCTGTGTTTGCTTCAGACTCTTAGCCTTCAAGATTTTAATTTATATCCTGAAGGCTGACTCAGCTGACCCAATCTATGTACCTGGAAACCTGAAGATGTTCCACAATGTACTCCCCCCCACCCCACCCCAGACGTCCATGTTCATTGCCATGACTACAGAAAAGCAGGCGACCACAAACAGCCATCCAGAAACACCTCTGCTTTTTTTTTTTAATCTGTAGGCATAGGAGAAATAGTTCTGGTAAATGATGGTCAGTCATAGTCTATCTATGGCCAACCCTTCCTCCAACTTTAAAACCTACAATTCCAGCCAAGTCTTTGATAGGATGGTTGGGTAATGGAAGCTATAGAAAGAACAAGTAAAAACCTGGAGATTACGACACTGGAGCCCAGCCTAAATTTCAGCATGACTTACCGTTGCAAGCCTGGCAAACACCTACCTAATAAATGCTCCTTTGTTGACAGGGCACGCTTACTTTTCACCTTGGCGTGGGAATTCAACTTCTCACAACATTTGTATCTCTATCATATCATTGTGCTCCCGTAAAGTAGCAATTTGGTCAATGGATCTATGTCTTTGAATATGTTTTTAACCCCTTGTTTTTTTTTTTTTTTTTTTGGGGAGGTTTTTTTTTTTTGTTTTAGCGGTGTGGTTC